TTGGATCCATTGAGAATTAAGGAAATGAGGGTCTTGAGACTTGATGGCAGTGACGTGTCTTGACATTTTTCCGGAAAAGATCCGTTGAAGAGAATGCCTTCATGATTAAAAATGTCTTTCCTTATTATAGAAGCATCCCTGGCCAAAATTAGTGCGTCTTCTGAGAAGTCTCTTCCCTTTAAGGCGTCTTGAATCATGTTACGCATTCCTTCTTTGAAAACTAAGAAGGTGTTCCTGCCGTCGAACTGTTCTTGTGCTTCCTTGAAGTATTCCATCAAGCGCTCCTTTAGCCTGGTCTTGTTTACTGATTTCGCATTACCCAGATTCTCCAGGCGACTTTCATGTAAAGAGTGCAGCTCCGACAATTTAAACAGGAGTTTTCAAGAACTGACTTCTTCTTTGACATAACTTGCAAGCTCGACAAACATGCGGGAGTTACACACGTTTTCATCAATATTTTGCTTATCCTTGTTTGATTTTCTGGCGTGACTGCGAATTCAATCAAGCATTTCAGATGATACTTTGCTCCGATCGTAATAAGATCTCCTCCAACTATTCTCACAAGTAGTCTGGAATCATTAAGCTCTTTTATTATTGTTCTTATATTTGCGTCTGTCTCAAATGTAGCCACCTGGCGGAGATCTCCATCATCTTCTCGAGCTCCCTTCTCACACAAAAAACATACTTCACTGTTCAACCGTTGTCGCTTACCGCGAGAGCTTGTTTCTGTCGAATCACTACTCCGTTTTCTTTTCAGTTTTGCTCTTTCAAGTTTGCAGCCGCTAAATTTCGCAAAGCAAGACTTTTGCCACGACGCACGATGAAATTCCCAGTTTTCTGCAGTCTCGTCACATCCAAATTTGACTATCACTGGTAAAGATCGATCAATATCTTATCTTACGCGATTAAGAAAATTCGTATATGCGTCTTTTTTATTTCCTTTCTTTACCCGGTTTTCAAAGGGACATTTTAAAGCTTCTGAGTCTAGCTCCATGTTTTGCGGTCACAAGCTAAAACAAATAAGGAATTTCTATAACAATGTATATATGCTACAATGTTGGCTGTTAATTAAAACTGAACTTAAGCTACAGTAAAACGGGAAACAAAAAACCGTGTAACTTGTTTTGAAACATTGCTACTAAACGAGTTGAATAGAGATGTTTCGCGTTTTACCACCGACGTTCGAACCTGTCTTGTAACAAATAAGGTTGCAAGGTTTTTTTCGTAGGTGGTAAAACGTGCAACATTGCTATTCAACTCCTTTGGCACCAATTTTACAAAACAAGTTGCACTTTTTTCTTGCCCGTTTCACCGTACTTTTTAGGAAAATTTCACCATAATTCATGATAGCTTGGACCTCTACAGGTTTCTAAATATAACAACAATGTCTTTTTACTGCAAAACTACAAGAAACATTGTATACATACCAGGTTAAGAAGCACTGCATTTGGTCCAAACATAAAAGCACTACAACAACATGGCGTCTGAAGCAGCGCCCGAGAGTTTGAACATGCTTTTGTTTTGAGAGAAATTATTCAAATTGCACGCAAAAATCCACGTGGATCCACGGATAAAAATGTTTAATAGTAACTAAGGAAACAATCTGGTGATTTTGATGCTTGTATCCGCTGTGTAACGTTTCCGCGAAAATTTGGAGTTAAG